GAAGGAGAGGAGAGAGACGGTAGGAAGGAGAGGAGAGACGGATAGAGAAAGATATGAAAGCTAATTGGAAGGATTGACAGGGAGATGAGGAAGAAACAGATGAGGGAGAGAGAAGAGAGGGCTGACACATTTGGATCTCTCATGTACCCGGAGGACCATAGATTTCCCAATAATGTTACACCTCCTGGACGGACGGACGGAGGGATCGCTGCTCCTGAATGCAGTATACCCGAACAATGACTGCACCTGATTGGATTCAGTCATCGTTGGGATGGTAATTTTCCATCCAGTCCCTTCAATGTTGTGCTTGTGGCAGGACCACCCCCAGCTCAGACAATTCTATGGCGCTGACAGTGGCTGATAATTCAGCAGGAATCGGACACATTAGGAGCGATGTCTAGCTTACTAGAGGGATGGTGGGAGAGGAGAGAGCCAGGCAGAGAGGGATTACCACTCCCAGGGAGTCAGGCACAGGGCATCTGGTGCAGGTAAAAGAAGTCTGTATTACCTGATCAACCAATCAGATTCTGACAATCAAGATCCTACAGGAAACGAGACAGGTCCTCTTTGTGACACCTAGGACTGCACCGAGGGACCACATTATCATCTTAGGATACAGAAATGTCATCCCGCAACAGCCAACCGACTTTCGTGATCCAATTTCTGAGAAATCAGGCCTCGGTATTCTGACCTGTGAATGAGACCCCGTGGGGGGGTCACAGGAAGTGCTGCGAAATCCTCCTCCGAACCACCATCTCACAGACAGGATGGAGCCGCACAGCAACGACCCACTTCCTGTCCTCTGGCCACTTCACATTTCAGGTCAGTGAAAGGAAATGGTCAGAGACTCCGGCTCCCCCCCCCCCCCCGCTTTGCCCCCCCCTTTCCCCAGGGGGAAGCCCGTTCGCACGGCTTTATTAGACGGTGACACAGAAATAAAATCAGGTCATCTGTATACATATATATATAGAGCAGAGACTTCCAAGACGACACAAACTCCTCCGCACACAAAACAGAACTCTGAAAACTGAGAATGTGGAACTCCGAGTTGCCTCGTGCCACTGACCTGTGATTGGCGGCCATGTTCTCTAATCCGCTGGCCGTGGCTAGTAACAGGAAAGGCGTCAGCGGAAGTAGTCACCGTTACCTTTATATGCACAATGTGGGCTCGTGGGGTGATTTAGTACTGGCGGGGGAGGGCCTCCGGTGTCTTGTGCCATCTATCCGCCTCCCCCACTTCCCTGCTAAGTGCACAGTGCATGCTGGGTGATGTAGTCCCCGCAGCCTATTACACATGATACGCCTGGAACATGTGACCTGCGTGAACCTCGAGGTGGAGTTACGCTTTAAAGAGAATGGCCGACGCAACAAAAATGAGAATTAAAGCACAGCCAATCCAGCTCATCGTCTCCATCTTTTTATTTCCTGGTTGGAGACTATTAGGTTTTAATGGCTGTGTCCCCCCTGGAGACATTACCAGTCACTTCCTGTCAGCACAGGAAGTGGGAGTGAATCTTCCCCGATGGGGTCACCGTTGGAAAGAAAAACATGACAGATATTTTAATTCTCCCCCACTCTATCCAAAACTAGAAACATCGGCAGAATGAGAAGGTGCTGAGCCTCAGCAACCAATCACAATCAACCGACACAGGAAGCTGGTATCTGAACGCTTACATCTGACTGGCTGTCCTGACAGTTCTCATGAAGGCCGTTCGTGTCCATACAAAAGGACAACAAAAATGTTAAAGAGGACCTGTCCTGAATAGAATATGGAGACTGCTACTGCTGAACCGCTTCTGTCTAGCCGTCTGTGACTGAGTCACTGACTTACAACAAGCATGCAGCCAGTGAAGTCTAAACTCCTGATCTGCATCACTGAGAGTACTGAAGCCAGGCACAGCCAGGGAGGCGGCATTTTAGGAAAAGCCGAGCACTGGCAGCGTAGTTAATGTCGCAGTACAGGATTCCTTTAAAGCCTTCAAAGCCGTTTTACGTCAGAGAGTTCGGGTCAGGTGGCTGCGGCCCTTTAAGTCAGACAGCCGGTGTCTCCATGGCAACCAAACACCGCAGCCTTGGAATGTAATGGGCTCACATCACTCTCCAATTAAGAAGACATCATTATAAGCGCACATATGGTAGCCGGGCACGGGGGGCGGGATTTAAAGGCGCAATCGTGTCCCCCGACGTGACAATTCTGTGTTTAACGAGAGCTCGTCAGGACAGGAAATAAAAGATGAACGCAGTCGGGATTTCCAATATGGCCGATTGCTGAAAATGATCGTCAATCAATACACCCGATTAATGAGCTTTGCATATTGACCGGTTATTACTGCGTCGGGTGAGGGTGACAGGATGCAGCTTCCAAAACTAGTAGCCAATGGCTGCTCCCATATCACCCAACCCCCCCCCGGAAGGTTCCCTTTAAACTGACTCTGAGGGCAGGACGATCCTATTGGGTGGCACCTGGCTGTCCATGCAGATAAATCCCTACCGATGCCACACGACCCTGAAACTAAAGCCTGCGAAACTGAAGGGTGTTCCCTGGTTCTGGCTCCGCCCCTTTTATTGAAACTTCTGCGGCCACGCCTACTAACACAGCAGTGTGACAGGGAGGGAAACACTCTCAGGAGCACGTTAGCAGCTTTGCAGTGCTTTCTGATCGTTCAGTTGCTCCGTCATTTAGGGTGTGAATGCGAGGAGGAGGAGGGAGAGGGGTGTTGACGTATTATCCGGCAGCTGTCGGAGAACTACCACCCCCAGCATACACAGTATCCAGGAGCACCCAAGAAAACAGTCAGAGGGAGCATTCCCACTTCTTACCAGCGTGTGGCGCTTCATGTGCTCCCTCCTGGTGAACTTCTTGCCGCAGATCTCGCAGGGATAGGGCCGCTCCCCCGTGTGAGAACGCATGTGCCTCTTCAGGATGCATTGGTGCATGGCGGAGAAGCTGCAGTACGGGCACTTGAACTTCTTGCGGATGACGGTGAATTCGTTTACTGTAAGAGAGAGGAGAGAGGCCGTCACCACGTGCACAGAGGCCGCATCCACATAACAGCAATCACAGTATAAGAATACAGGAATGACACCAACGAGGATGAACACCGCGGCCGTGTGATGTACAAAGACCCAGAGTCCAGAGATCACCCGACTCCGCCTCCCAATGTCTGAGAGAGATGACATCATCATCAACAAGTGGTTCCGCTGCTAAACCCCTCCCACATAGAGCAGCCACAGCATGAAACCAGGCTTCCAGTGGGAGGGGCTGCACCTGACATACCATTTCATATATGTCATGTTACAGGAGATGGTCAGAGACTGCAGACACACTACAGGAGATGGTCAGAGACTGCAGCCATACTACAGGAGATGGTCAGAGAGTGTAGACACACTACAGGAGATGGTCAGAGACTGCAGACATGTTACAGGAGATGGTCAGAGACTGCAGCCATACTACAGGAGATGGTCAGAGAGTGTAGACACACTACAGGAGATGGTCAGAGACTGCAGACACACTACAGGAGATGGTCAAGAGACTGCAGACACACTACAGGAGATGGTCAAGAGACTGCAGACATGCTACAGGAGATGGTCAGAGACTGCAGACACACTACAGGAGATGGTCAGAGACTGCAGACATGCTACAGCAGATGGTCAGAGACTGCAGACACACTACAGGAGATGGTCAGGGACTGCAGACATACTAAAGGAGATGGTCAGAGACTACAGACATGCTATAGGAGGTGTTCAGAGACTGCAGGTTTGATTGGAGGTTGGGGACATGTTATAGGAGACAGTCAGAGACTGGTGATATGTTACATGGGAGTGCTCTCATTCCCACTGACTACTGGGGCCAAAGCACAACACTATAGGTACCAAAGGGCCGCAGGTTGGGTTATGTGGCTATAGGGCACAGTGGTGATTGGAGGATCACAGGACTACACACATCACAAATCTCCTAACCAGCAATCACCAGCAAATGCACAATACATGTGTATCTGGTCAGCTGATCTGGGCGTCATACTGAACATACAATGACCACCATCTATATCCCAGGCCGGTACTTTGCACAGGGGGCTCGGACACTCTGACACACACAATGGGCTCAGATGCTCATACATATGGCCGCACCATTCCCGGGGGTTGGCACCGCTCAGAATGCCGGCTGAGAACACGCGCCGACCCTTTAATTCTCCCCGTCTGGGATCGGATCACTAATATAATACATTAAGACAGCCGCCTCCTCCGCTGCCACGCCTGCCCTGATTGCTGTCCTCACATGACCGGGTGCAGCCTAGCACTGAGCTCAGGTAGAGGCAGCAGCGGCCATGTTTAAAGGGGGGGTGGCGCTGACTTTCTGAGTAACTGACCCGGAACAAGGGTACGGCCGGTGAGGTCAGAACTCATGACGTTCATACTTGTTCTGGGGTCAAACAATTATCTTTTTCAGAAAGAGGTGAGTGGTGACAACCTGTGTGGAAATCCATTAAAGTTGATCCATCACCCACACAGTGCTGACCACTGAGGATTCCAAGCGGCTCCGAGGCTACCATAAACTACGTGTCTGTGGCCCCCTCCTCTACATCACGCCCATACAAATTTCAAAAAGCCTTCCTATAGGTTCCTCAAGGGAACGTCCTACATATTCATCCAAAGATGGCTGACACCACGCTCCTCCAGGAAGAAAAAAAAAAGAAGACACCCAGCACGGGCTTCTCCAAAATGGCTGCTGACGCTCAAATGTGCAGACGCTGTTGGGTTCAATCAGTGCGTCCGCAACCATCCCTAGCAAGGACTTCATCCGCCATAGCCCAGCACAAAAACATAGGGATGGAGGAGACCTACCAAATAGATGGAGGGTGGTAGGTCACCTTGATCCATTCAATCGTTTCTGTGAGCGGAAGCTGAGTGAATATTTCTGTTACAAGTGGAGGACTTTGCCCCACTAGAGGTTCCAATCCAAAGACCCCGCCTCTAACTTATGGGGGGTTATTGCATTCCACCTTTACCATAGGGATAAGGGGAGGGTTTGTGCTATGTCTTAAAGCAGACCTTCCACCTTTACCATAGGGATAAGGGGAGGGTTTGTTCTATGTCTTAAAGCAGACCTTCCACCTTTACCATTGGGATAAGGGGAGGGTTTGTGCTATGTCTTAAATCAGACCTTCCACCTTTCCCATAGGGATAAGGGGAGGGTTTGTTCTATGTCTTAAAGCAGACCTTCGACCTTTACCATAGGGATAAGGGGAGAGTTTGTTCTATGTCTTAAAGCAGACCTTCGACCTTTACCATAGGGATAAGGGGAGAGTTTGTTCTATGTCTTAAAGCAGACCTTCGACCTTTACCATAGGGATAAGGGGAGAGTTTGTTCTATGTCTTAAAGCAGACCTTCGACCTTTACCATAGGGATAAGGGGAGAGTTTGTTCTATGTCTTAAAGCAGACCTTCGACCTTTACCATAGGGATAAGGGGAGAGTTTGTTCTATGTCTTAAAGCAGACCTTCGACCTTTACCATAGGGATAAGGGGAGAGTTTGTTCTATGTCTTAAAGCAGACCTTCGACCTTTACCATAGGGATAAGGGGAGAGTTTGTTCTATGTCTTAAAGCAGACCTTCGACCTTTACCATAGGGATAAGGGGAGAGTTTGTTCTATGTCTTAAAGCAGACCTTCGACCTTTACCATAGGGATAAGGGGAGAGTTTGTTCTATGTCTTAAAGCAGACCTTCGACCTTTACCATAGGGATAAGGGGAGAGTTTGTTCTATGTCTTAAAGCAGACCTTCGACCTTTACCATAGGGATAAGGGGAGAGTTTGTTCTATGTCTTAAAGCAGACCTTCGACCTTTACCATAGGGATAAGGGGAGAGTTTGTTCTATGTCTTAAAGCAGACCTTCGACCTTTACCATAGGGATAAGGGGAGAGTTTGTTCTATGTCTTAAAGCAGACCTTCGACCTTTACCATAGGGATAAGGGGAGAGTTTGTTCTATGTCTTAAAGCAGACCTTCGACCTTTACCATAGGGATAAGGGGAGAGTTTGTTCTATGTCTTAAAGCAGACCTTCGACCTTTACCATAGGGATAAGGGGAGAGTTTGTTCTATGTCTTAAAGCAGACCTTCGACCTTTACCATAGGGATAAGGGGAGAGTTTGTTCTATGTCTTAAAGCAGACCTTCGACCTTTACCATAGGGATAAGGGGAGAGTTTGTTCTATGTCTTAAAGCAGACCTTCGACCTTTACCATAGGGATAAGGGGAGAGTTTGTTCTATGTCTTAAAGCAGACCTTCGACCTTTACCATAGGGATAAGGGGAGAGTTTGTTCTATGTCTTAAAGCAGACCTTCGACCTTTACCATAGGGATAAGGGGAGAGTTTGTTCTATGTCTTAAAGCAGACCTTCGACCTTTACCATAGGGATAAGGGGAGAGTTTGTTCTATGTCTTAAAGCAGACCTTCGACCTTTACCATAGGGATAAGGGGAGAGTTTGTTCTATGTCTTAAAGCAGACCTTCGACCTTTACCATAGGGATAAGGGGAGAGTTTGTTCTATGTCTTAAAGCAGACCTTCGACCTTTACCATAGGGATAAGGGGAGAGTTTGTTCTATGTCTTAAAGCAGACCTTCGACCTTTACCATAGGGATAAGGGGAGGGTTTGTGCTATGTCTTAAAGCAGACCTTCCACCTTTACCATAGGGTAATCAGATACTTTAGGGAGGGGGCACCTTGCAGAAGCAGACCTTGTCACCGAGTTGGAAGGTCGCCTTTAACACACAAGACAAACCCCGGTGACCTCCCCGTAATCCCGCTCCTCCAAAGGGGGGAAACTTTATGTGCATATCACAAAACACAGACATATCCAGAGACCTGCAGAAGACAACATTAGCCAGAAAGACATTTATTCTCTATACAGGAGCTGGAAATAGACAATGGGATATATTATAGGGAAGGCGAGCTGAAGTGCGCCTAGAATTAGAAATATTGTGTCATGCTGAGAGATGTGCAAGTGTAACACTTCCAGGTATTTATCACCTCTCACAGAGATCACACCACTCCCCCTGACAATGCTTAATATGCTTTTGTTTCCTAGAAGGACCGCACCATCTTTGCTCAGATATTATCCAGGGTCACCATCTACTCCCTGGCCTCAGATGCCGGCTTGGAGATGACACAGTCATGTCAATTCTGGTGCCTGTGCAGTTCTTGGCTGTGTGACTTGCTATTAACTTACAAATGTTACAGTCTAAACACTGGGGTAGAAGAGACTGAGGAAATGCTTCCTTCTGCCTGCAGCCGACTGATCACTGGGGAGAGGAGACTGAGGAAATGCTTCCTCCTGCCTGCAGCAGTCTGATCACTGGGGAGAGGAGACTGAGGAAATGCTTCCTCCTGCCTGCAGCCGACTGATCACTGGGGGAGAGGAGACTGAGGAAATGCTTCCTCCTGCCTGCAGCCGATTGATCATATTTATATTTGTACAATAGGCAGAAAACATCTTAAGTTATACGTTAAAGCTTAATTCCAGCTAAAAAAAATGAAAGTAAATAAGTAGTGCAATAATAGTGAACCTAAAAAAAAGGAGCTTTTGCTGCAATATCTACCTTCAATCCAGAGCTGTCCGCCGCAGTACTGCTTTTCCGCCACTAGATGTCCTCAGTCTGCCTGGTTGAATGACGGCCAGCATGATTTAACCCGCATCCTTCATACTCATGCTGTCATGGGTTTCCCCCTGGGCAGTGTCATCATGCAGCCTGGGCTCAGGGGATTACTGCACTGCTGGGTTTTCAGATGTCATTACTGGAGCAGAGCAGTAAGGACAGGCCACAGGCACCACTGGAGGAGGAAGAAGAACCATGAAGCCAGCCTAGAAAACCCTTAAAAAATCGGTATGCTGTATCCTCTCACCTTGTGAATTTGAAGAGGAAGGATTAGAAGCTCTCAATATTTGTATTGCTATCTGTGCAGAGTTCCTGTTCTAATGCCAACAGTATCACTTGGACAGGAAATGATGGTTCATTCTTTCTAATGGGGACACAGCTTTAAAAAACTGGCAGCTTCTGATTGTTCCTAACAACTCATATGTAGTTTTACATCTTAAGAGCATACATGCAGGGCCGGATTTCCCACAAGGCCAACTGAGGCCCAGCCTTTGGGCAGCAGGCAGTAGAGGGGCAGTAGGGGAGAGGAATTCCTATCTCCCGATGCATGCAGTTCCGGGCGCCGGGCGGGTAGTTGTTTTCTACATTTAGTCCTGCTTTGGGCAAGCAGGGTTAAATGTACAGCAGGGAAGCCGCCGCTTGATTTGTACAATTGGTCTCAGCGATGTCGTCGAGATCACTTGTATGCAGCCTGCATACAGGGGGGCGTATTGAGGAGCCTGGCATTGGGGCAGGAGAGAGAATTAGGCCGGGTTCACACCTGGGCGTATGGAATATGCGCGGTTGCCGCATATTCGCAACAACGCGCGTTTCTGAGGGCTATCCAGGTGTATCCTAATGGATACGCACGGCAAATATGCCCCAAAGAAGCTCCTGTACTTCTTTGGGCGTAGGGCGTTTTACATCGTGTTCCTACGCGCTGTAAAACGCCCAGGTGGGAACCATGCCCATTGGCAATTATTGGTTTTCACATGTTGAGCGTAGGAACGCGCTGTAAAACGCCCAGGTGTGAACCAGGCCTAAATCCGGACCTGCATACATGCTAACTAATGTGTAGGTATAACAGGTATTTATTAACAGAGATCAAAGTCCTTACCCTGACAATGCATTCATGTGTTTTTCTCTCCAGAAGAACAGTCATCTTTGTTCAGGCCTCATCCCCGGTCACCATCTACTTTCTGGACTGAGATGTAGGCTCAGAGCTGACACAATAATGTAAAAACTAGTGCCTGTGCAGTTTTTGGCAATGCTCATAAATGTCTGACACAGATCAGCACCTGCTGCAGCCTCTCACTACACAGTTGCAATGTTGCCGTCTGATCACTGGGGGAGAGAATGAGGAAATGCTTCCTCCTCCTGCCTGCAGCCGATCCATGGAGGGAGAGGAGACTGAGGAAATGCTTCCTCCTGCCTGCAGCCGACTGATCACTGGGGGAGGGGAGACTGAGGAAATGCTTCCTCCTGCCTGCAGCAGACTGATCACTGGGGGAGAGCAGACTGAGGAAATGCTTCCTCCTGCCTGCAGCAGACTGATCACCCTGGCCTCGGATGATTGGGCCGGGAAGGGTCACTGACAGTTTTGCGCAGGCCCGGGCAGTCTCAATTTATACCAAGCCCCTGCAAATCCTTCATTTCCATGTATGAAAGTGGAATAATGACCTGTGATGAACATTCTTTTTATGAGAATAAGACTGAGGAAGTGCTTCCTCCTGCCTGCAGCGGACTGATGACATCATCTCTAGGCGAAGTCACTGACTGGGGTTCAAGGATAAAAGATCATAAAATAAAAGATAAAGCTTTCTGGAATGTATTCCTGTAGTCTGGTGGCGTTACTGACAGGTCCACTTAGATGCTGATTGGTACATTGACGGGACTACACACATCAGAGAGAAGAAGTGCTGAGGATATACAGACATTGGGGTGTAAGGCAGAGGCATGCTTGGGAGGGATCACTCTGCTCTATATATAGCTGGGACACAAGGGAGAGTTGCTTCCCCTTTAACATAAGGAAGAAGAGACGGGAAAAGAGTCAATTTCACATCCCCTAAAATCTCGTCGTGTTCTAAAAGGAAGTGGCCGTTTCCCCAAATAGGATGGGGCCCGGGTTAACCCTGCGAGTCCCGGAGCAGAACAATGAACACAATACAGGAGGAAACATGCATCACAAATCATGGCGGCTTCTTATCTTCTCTAATAATTCACAATTGTAGCCATTTACCGATCAGGAAGTGACACCGGCAGCCTTCACTTCCACCTTCGCTGCAAACAAAATCAAATGCGTGAACGGGCGCTTGGGATTGGCCCTTGTCGTAAAGAAGAAAGAGGGACCACTTACGGGAGAGCGAGTGGGTACCTTTGGGCAGGTATTCGAAGAGCAGCGAGCTGTCCTCCGCCAGGACGTTGGCCTTGAGGGACAACAGGCTGTTCTTGCTCAGGAGGGCGCTGCGCAGGTTGGAGACGCTGGTGATCTGCGGGTGGTTGTCGTCCTTCTCCAGTCCTAGCGTGTGAGTTATATAGGTGGCCTCTCCGCCCTGGAGGGACTCCTCGCCCTGCGAGTACAAGTCCACCCGTTCCTCCCGGCTGTCTGAACTGCCTGGCTCGATCACTGTCACATCGTCACCTGAAAGAGAAGGAGGGACAGATTAAACAAGGGGGGCCAACAGTGGGAAACAAAATGTAAATATACATACAAGGAATGTCCCACATGGTGGCCACGGTGGGCCATATCTTTCTATTGCACATTACAAAATGGCAATGCCACCGTTCCCTGTTTGCACGAGCAATGTAGGTAGAGTCTTAGCATCAAAGGAATGCAGTTTACACACCTTACAGGATGCTTAAATGACAGGTGCTCTTTTGTTCACTTGAACTCCAACCCTCCCTTACCCCCCAGCCCTTTGAATATTAACCTTCAATCGGCCGATCCCCGATCTCAAAGCTGCGCTCGTCTGACATTTTATCATAGACTTTCACGCAGGGCCTCTGATCAATGCATCCAGGAACAGATGTCTGGCTAGGGTTGCCAACCGTCCAGGATTCACCCGGACAGTCCAGGTTCTGAATGCTGTGTCCGGGTTTCTGCTGCCATGAAACCTGGACACAAGATGTCAGGCAGACGGGGGCAACCAAAATTAAGATGGGGGATACTGGCCCCCCACTGAAAATAGGCTTGACTGATATTTACATATGAATGGGTGGCGATATTTACATATGAATGGGCGGCGATATTTACATATGAATGGGCGGCGATATTTACATATGGATAAGTCACGACTTCCGCGTATCACTAGAGTGTTCGGGTTTCATTTGAAGAAAATGTGTCAACCCTATGTGTGGCACCCTGTAGTAGACGGCAGTGCTGTAACCCATGCTGAATGCAGGGGGACCGCAGGGTAACAGGGTCACACCAATGGCCTGCAGTAACTCAGCACATGAAGCTGCCTAGAACCGGTGAAGAGAGATGAGGCTGGGCTTGGTACAAACCCAGTTCACCCACATAAAGCTGTGCCCGACACCCCGCCTAATCAATTGCGGCCAGGGAATTCCCTGCCCCTTGTGATATGTAGCGCTGGGGTGGGGAATGCCCCGACTGCAACTGACTGGGTCGGGAGTGACGTTTCAGTCACAGTTCTGCATGGGCTTGGGCGAAATCCGGTGAACTAGGTTGGCACCAAGCTCCAACTTTAAAGCTGATGTCACCAACAGAGCCCTCGACAGTAGGGCTGCATCAAACGATTATTTTCATAATCGATTAGTTACCCGATTATTTTTTCAACTAATCGATTGGTTGTATAAACAAAATTCCCCCTCTCTCTCTCAATCCCGCCCTCTCCATCTCCAACCAACTAATCGATGATGCGAATACTTGCCAACTATTCTCATAATCGAATATTATCGATTTAGGCAATTAGTTGTTGCAGCTCTGCTCGACAGAAATAAAGCCGCCCACACAATCTGACAGAGTCTTTGCACCCATTCCCTTAAATTTACCAAAATTACATAAAGTGAGCCCCGACCTGATATTTCATTCCGTTTGTATCCAATCAGGCTGCCCATACCCCTTTTAATCTACCTGATCAATCAATTATTTAGTAGGAGAGCCCGCCTGACCAGATTCTACTACAGGAGACGGAATAGAGATTTCACATGCAGATTGTATGGTCTACTGCCGGCTTCATGCCGCGCAGCTGTGGGTAGATCTAAAGCCAAGTATAGTATCGGATCCTGCGGTCAACTTGGGCGCTCCAACGTGCCCGTCGACAAATCATACAAATATTTATTTCCTGTCAACCTATCCTTTAACTCTGGCTGTGCAGGGAGTTGTAGTTCCCCAGTGACTAGGCTGCAGTAGGCTGCGGGGGGCCCCCTCCAGACACCCAACCACTGCGCACATGCTATAGGCGGACAGGAAATGGTTAAGTGGAGCTCTGGTCCGGTCACATCAGTTCATGCATGAATTATAGAAGAGTCCGGGCCCATTAACGGTGCAAGCACGCGGCATATGATACATCAGACAGAGCTGGAGGAAGACAAGCGGCTCATCCTACTGCCGGCATTAAACGTAATGGAATGTTTATGTAATCCAGGTTTTATATTGACCGGGGGATACATATACAAAGGTTTCTAGAGCATATAAGAACAGTGCAGGGAAATATTTTCTAACCCACCGCTAACTTCCTGTTCATCCAATAAAACTACCAATAAGGATCGCTATGAATTGCTAACAGATACAATAGAGAATAAGTGAATCATAGCTCCGCCCACTAGGAGCCAATCACATCCCGAGGTGGAGGAGTTGTCACGCACAGTTCCTATTTTGTTCCAATTCTTGCACACGTGTGAGACTGCCTGGCATGGAAACCCCAACAAACAGAAGAAAGGGACTGCCTATGCTGACTTGCTCTTCAGGAAATGCCAATTATGCATTATCAGAGGTGGGCAATGCTGAAATTACAAATCCCATCACGCTTTTGCTTCTAGGAGTCATGTCTGTGGCTGTCAGAGTCTTGCAATTCCTCGTGGGACTCCGTAGGGGTTTTGCAACGCCTCGTGGGACCCCGTCGGGATCTTGCAACGCCTCGTGGGACCCCGTCGAGGTCTTGCAACGCCTCGTGGGACCATGTCGGGATCTTGCAACGCCTCGCGGGACCATGTTGGGGTCTTGCAATGCCTCGTGGGCCCCTGTCGGGGTCTTGCAATGCCTCGTGGGCCCCTGTCGGGGTCTTGCAATGCCTCGTGGGCCCCTGTCGGGGTCTTGCAATGCCTCGTGGGCCCCTGTCGGGGTCTTGCAATGCCTCGTGGGCCCCTGTCGGGGTCTTGCAATGCCTCGTGGGCCCCTGTCGGGGTCTTGCAATGCCTCGTGGGCCCCTGTCGGGGTCTTGCAATGCCTCGTGGGCCCCTGTCGGGGTCTTGCAATGCCTCGTGGGCCCCTGTCGGGGTCTTGCAATGCCTCGTGGGCCCCTGTCGGGGTCTTGCAATGCCTCGTGGGCCCCTGTCGGGGTCTTGCAATGCCTCGTGGGCCCCTGTCGGGGTCTTGCAATGCCTCGTGGGCCCCTGTCGGGGTCTTGCAATGCCTCGTGGGCCCCTGTCGGGGTCTTGCAATGCCTCGTGGGCCCCTGTCGGGGTCTTGCAATGCCTCGTGGGCCCCTGTCGGGGTCTTGCAATGCCTCGTGGGCCCCTGTCGGGGTCTTGCAATGCCTCGTGGGCCCCTGTCGGGGTCTTGCAATGCCTCGTGGGCCCCTGTCGGGGTCTTGCAATGCCTCGTGGGCCCCTGTCGGGGTCTTGCAATGCCTCGTGGGCCCCTGTCGGGGTCTTGCAATGCCTCGTGGGCCCCTGTCGGGGTCTTGCAATGCCTCGTGGGCCCCTGTCGGGGTCTTGCAATGCCTCGTGGGCCCCTGTCGGGGTCTTGCAATGCCTCGTGGGCCCCTGTCGGGGTCTTGCAATGCCTCGTGGGCCCCTGTCGGGGTCTTGCAATGCCTCGTGGGCCCCTGTCGGGGTCTTGCAATGCCTCGTGGGCCCCTGTCGGGGTCTTGCAATGCCTCGTGGGCCCCTGTCGGGGTCTTGCAATGCCTCGTGGGCCCCTGTCGGGGTCTTGCAATGCCTCGTGGGCCCCTGTCGGGGTCTTGCAATGCCTCGTGGGCCCCTGTCGGGGTCTTGCAATGCCTCGTGGGCCCCTGTCGGGGTCTTGCAATGCCTCGTGGGCCCCTGTCGGGGTCTTGCAATGCCTCGTGGGCCCCTGTCGGGGTCTTGCAATGCCTCGTGGGCCCCTGTCGGGGTCTTGCAATGCCTCGTGGGCCCCTGTCGGGGTCTTGCAATGCCTCGTGGGCCCCTGTCGGGGTCTTGCAATGCCTCGTGGGCCCCTGTCGGGGTCTTGCAATGCCTCGTGGGCCCCTGTCGGGGTCTTGCAATGCCTCGTGGGCCCCTGTCGGGGTCTTGCAATGCCTCGTGGGCCCCTGTCGGGGTCTTGCAATGCCTCGTGGGCCCCTGTCGGGGTCTTGCAATGCCTCGTGGGCCCCTGTCGGGGTCTTGCAATGCCTCGTGGGCCCCTGTCGGGGTCTTGCAATGCCTCGTGGGCCCCTGTCGGGGTCTTGCAATGCCTCGTGGGCCCCTGTCGGGGTCTTGCAATGCCTCGTGGGCCCCTGTCGGGGTCTTGCAATGCCTCGTGGGCCCCTGTCGGGGTCTTGCAATGCCTCGTGGGACCCTGTCGGGGTCTTGCAACGCCTCGTGGGACCCTGTCGGGGTCTTGCAATGCCCCATGGCACCCTGGCGTACCGAGGTTGCCTACCCCTGATATATATTGAAAAATCGCCTGTTGTTGAATTGAGGGGTCCTGTTGAGACCACACACTGGTCATATTTTGGCCGAGTTGGCAGAATTCGTCCAAAATCTGAACAGTGTACGGTCAGCCTAAGAAATGATGGACGTATGACCATGGGTGTGGTATGAGGACATCGTTTTGCCTAAACCCCCTAAGGGTAACAGTCGCAGAGAGCTCACAGGCATCATGCAGGGTATGGGTGACAGGTCCCCTTTATAACAATAAGTTTCCTGGCGCGGGAGGACTTGGGAAAGAAAATGAACTTGGGCCGTAATGAGAAATGTCTGAAAATAGTGCGCTCTGTTTATATGGGATTCTGGGGCTTGTGACAGATCCAACCTAATAATTAGGACAGCTCTAATCACAGCAGGGAGCATCCCTGGGGGCAGCAGATATTAATAGCGTGTCTGTGTGGAGGTGCTCCGCCGTGGCTCATCGGTCTGGGAAGCCAACAGGCAGGTAATCAGAGGGTGTGGAGTGCCGGCCGAGTAATTCCCAGCTAAAGACGAGGGGGGCAATTAGCAGATTACGCGGATTTGTGGAGGATGAGGTGGGGAGAGGATTCTGGGAGTGCTGGGAATACACATCACATAGGGGTTTACACACTGCTCCATGTGATCATACAGAGGTGAATTAGGATAATGAGGGATATGAGAAAACTGCGCACACAGAACAAAGCCCGTGTCCAGACAGTCATCCAGGCATCTCAGTCCCAAGTCAGCAATCTGGGAACCCCTTTTGTTTAATGCAGGACAAGTGTTCCCAAACACGCCTACAGCAGGCTCTCACAAACATTGGCAGCC